CATACATATCACTTTATTTCATGCTATTTACATATTTAACAATCAAAACATTAATATTATATGTCTATCACCCATATAAAACTTTAATATCAAATATATCACTCATATATCTCATTCGTACAACTCATACCACCCTATAAACTTTAATATTTCATTCCATGCAATCATATTTATTTTATGGATGATAGGCATATAATATTAATGCTTTATGCATTAGATACGTAAATAGCATGAAATAAAGTGGTTTGTATGTAAATCCCCTTTTAATTTTTATACTAGAAAGCTTTAAGAAGCAGTTAAAAAGTCGTACGTTTAACTTGACTAGACACGTTGTAATCCTAATGAAGAGCAAAATAGCCATTATTATGGTTTGAGGATCATATAATTAATCAATCAATTTTGATATTAATTCAATAAATTTGACTAATTATAGTAAAATAATAAAAAAATGAAAAATTATATATTTATATCAATTTTGATATTAATGAAAAATTTAAATAAGAATAAATTTAATATTTTAATATTTTTACTAACTTTTTATTTGAAAATTTAAATGTTAATATATTCTAAATATAATTTATATTCATATATATATTTTTTTAAATCGTACTCACCTCACTAAAAAATTATGTATATATGAACAAACTAAGGGCAAGGCCCATTTCCATTAATCATGTACTAGTTGCACGTGTAAGAAGGATAAACCTACTGTAAAAAAAAAAAACCCCAAAATTTGAGACAGCCTAGTGGTATGTGTAGAGAAAATAAACATTGAAAAACACTATAGAACTAAAATAAATACTCTAAAAAAGCTGAGTGGGTAAAAACAAAAGAGAAGTCCCCATTAGGGACTGTGGGCTCAGCAAAATGAATTGAAAATGCGAAGAACTGAATCCCCTGGTTGCAGAAGAAGCATAGAAACGAATGATACAGTACAACTACCATCCGAGGGGAGCAAAGATGCAATTTGGTCATCCTTGCCCGCCAAAAAACCACAGACCAACAACCATTGAGGTAAGAAACAGTGCAACAGCCTGATGAGAAGCACCACATTACAGAACATTAAAACATTTTTAACAGAGAGTCACAATTTCTTCATTCCAAGAATTTGGTGAAAACAACTCTCCTAATCATATGACAAACAATGATAGAGGATGCTTGGGAATTTATGAATTTCCTTTTGTTTCTTTCCTTCTAGAGATGATAAATCGAACAACAAACAATTAAATTAAAGAAATGCCTAACCAAGACTTGAAAATCTAATATGCTATCAAAGACTTGTAGGATGTTTGGAATACCTTGCGTTTCTCCTCTTACTAATGGAATCAAATTTGCAATAACAGAGAAGGAGAAATCACATTCAAAGAAAAGATGAGTAACAAACTCATTGCATAAGTTACATAAAGCACAGAGGTCAACATAAATCCCACGCATAATTAAGCAAATTATCAGCTATATTAAGGCCATCCATCAATTCCATCCATTAGTAAGAGGAGAAATGCAAGGTAAAGCATTTGCGCCAAATAAAATGTTGTCAGTTGATAGTAGCATGGTGTCAATAATAAAATTCTTGAAATGAATTGAGGCCTTTATCCTTACCATCACCCAAAGTGAGCAAAAAAAATTAGAAGCTTCAATAGGAAAACCATGAAGAGTATCAAGAAGAGAGGCAGACTAAACAGACAGTAGAGCCCACCCATTTCCATTAAGAATAAACACAATTCTGGCATCAATAGGGAAGTGGTTAAGAATATAAAGCAATTAATTAACCTCATCCAGCTTTTTCCCATCAAGCCAATGGTCCCAATAAAGAGAGATTGGGAAGGAGTGAGAAACCTTAAAAATGAGCTTTTCTTTAGCACACACCGCAACTTTACAGAGATATTTCCAGGAGGTAGCTTTGGATGGAGGAGGCTTCCTTGGAGAAGAATATTTATATAAAAGCCATTTGGAAAGTAGTGAATCTTTTTATATATTCTAGTAATGAGAGCACAATTGTAGTTGAATTATAAAGCTTGAAAAGAAGGGAGACCAAGGCCACCAAGAGCTCTAGACTTGTAAGTATTTTTCCAAGATATCAGATGAAGTTTCCTAACATTCACATCTCCAAAATAAAGAAACTTAGCACTGAGTTTATCAATCTGTTTAATAATGGATTTCGGTATAATGGATCCACTGATCTAATATGAATTGGTATTCGAGATTGTAAATCAAAGGAATTGAAATTTGCCAGCAAAAGACAAGGTTTTAGCTTTACACTATGAAAGTTTATGGATCACCACCTCCATAAGGCATGAGAAATCTACAAGCTTCAGGTTATAGGGAGATATGGGAATCCCAAGATAGGAGATACCTTTTGTAGAAGAGGGGATGTTAAGGGTTGTGCAAATGATAACAACATTTTGAAATTTAGGAGGCAGTATAAGAGAACTCTTATCAATGTTAATATGAAGGCCTGAATTAATAGAAAAAATATCTAGCAACTAACAAAGCCTCACACAATTTTAAACCTCAGCTATACCAAAAATAAGAAGATTATTAGTGTACATTAAATTGGAGATGTGAAAAACATCCACTTGAAGAGCTTCAAATATGGCATCATTAGAAGAACCATATAATAAACAAGAAAAAACATCCATAGCAATACTAAAAAAGAAAGGTCTAAGAGGACATCCCTGCCTAATGACAACATAAGAGGAAAAAATCTTTCAATGGCTCCGTCAATACACAGGGAGAACCAAACATCATTGATACAAGCTTCAATCCATTAAAGGTGGTAGGGAACCCCTTATGTAGAAACCTTGCTGAGATAAATTCCCTATAAATGCTGTCAAAGGTCTTTTTAATATCAAGCTTAACACACATTAGACTTTGCTTAGAAGATATTCTAGAGTGTAATAATAGCTCTTTGGCTAGAATAATGTTGTCTATGGAGATCCTCTGATAGATAAACCCAATTTGATTACCTTTAATAATGTGAGGCATGATATGTTTGAGACGAGCCACAAGAATTTTAGCAATAATTTTATAAACAATATTGCAAAGGGAAATGGGCTTGAAGTTTAATAAAGAAGCACCATGGCTGTTTTTGGGAATAAGAGTGAGAGTTGTAGCCTTGACAGAATGAGGTAAATATGCATTGATGAATAAGGATTTAACAGCTTTGTAAACCGTTAGACCAGTGATCAACCAGGTTGCTTTGTAAAATTCAAAGTTTAAACCATCTCGCTCAGGTGTAGAGAGAGAAGTACAAGAAAAAATCGCCTGCTTAATTTCAGAATAAATGAAGGGAGTAGTAAGGGAGGAAAGGAGCTCATTCAGGATGACTTCCCCAGGGCGGAAGAGACCAATATCTAAATAATGTTGCGTAAGGGGATTGAATAGTCTTTGAAAGTGAGAAATTGTATCATTGACAACATCTTTATAAGAGGATGAAGAGGTAGACATGGTAAGGGACAATGCTATTTTCTTGTAATTTCTCCTCAAATGAATCTTAGAGAAGAGAAACTTAAGGTCATCCTCCCTATGAGAGATCCATTTAGTTTTAGCCCTCTGCATGATCCAAAACGACCAATGGGAAGTGACCATGACAAGCTGATGGCTAACATTTTTGAGGGAAAGTGATTCTTTCATTGATGCATTATGTACTCAGAAAATTAAGGCATTCATCTTGCTTTTGATGAAGAAACTCCATGTGCTTGACCATCAAGTTAGACTTAGCCCAATTCTTGTCTTTAATAGCTAATTTAAGTTGCTTTAGTTTGAGGCAAAGATCCACCATAAGCTGCCTAGCATATTTAATAGAGAATGTAGGAATAAGCGTTAGCCAAAACTGATCAGTATTCGCCCAATAATTCTTGTCAAGGAATCTACGGTGAGAAATAATTCTTTCATCAGGCTGTAGAACAATGTGGTAGTGATCAGAACAAGAAGGGCTTTTGACCATATAATGAGAATTGGGAAAGGAAGCCAGCCAACCATTGTTAACCAACATTCGGTCCAACTATATATGAATCAGACTACTCTCTGGTTGAACCAAATGTAAGGGTTACCCACAAAGGCCAAATCCTTGAGATTAGTGTTAAATATGAGGGAATTGAAATCATGAATATGGTTCTAAAATAGTAACCTTAGTTGGCTGATCATAAATTATATACTAAATTTAATTAATTAGCTTATCAAACTCATAAGTCATTCCAATCATCATAACCTTAGTTGGCTCACCAGTTATGGTTTAGTTACACGCTTATTTTTGTTGGACCACCCTCTCTACTTCAAACTTCACCGTAAACTAGACCAAAGCATGGGACCATGAGAGTGAACTGTGTACTTGCGTCACGTTGCCTTCGTTTGCGTCACCCTTGGAAGAAGTTCCAGGTGGGTCCACGAGCTGCCTGCTACTTTGACTGCTTTTTCTTACCGCCTCTTTTTTCTTTTTCTTTTACTTTTTTTTTCCATTACATTTTAATTTATATATTTTTTTTGGGGATGTTTACATTTTAATTAATATAAAACAGCACTCAAATGTCTTAACGTTTGAAACTTCGTAATTGCTTTATACAGCAAAGTAAGAGAAAAGCTTAAGGGGTTTTTTGTAAAATAAGTTTTGAATGGTCAATTTATGCAAAATATTCAATTCACTTTAATTAGTTTCAAAATTAAAACAATATAAATTTAAATGAGTTCAAATCAAACTCTTTAAAGCTTTATTTGAAACAATTTTAATCATTAGTTTTTAAAATAAATTTTATAATAAAAATTTGCTTTTAAAAAAGCAATCCCAATCTAAAATAATATTTTAATCATAATGTGATCGGAAATTATCTTATAATTTTTATAAGAAAATATGAAAGAAACAAATAAAAAAAATAATTTCAACATGAAATAAAAATATAATATATATTTTTTTCATATTTATAAGTATTTAACGAAACAATCCTAACGAGATCTATTTTTTGACCAACCATCCATTCTTTGTTATTAAATAATCGGGCAATTCTTCATCCCACTCCCCTGCTTCCTCCGAAGCCTACCCTCCCCCGCCTCGTCGGCGCGCCGGCGCCGTGGCACGCATAAAATCAGCTTTTTCTCACGCAGTCTCTATCCGGGCGGGTCGATCGGGCCGAAACGGCGGGCTCGGCTCCCGGGTCATCGGCACACTCTTCGGCCCGCGCCGCGGGCACGTGCGCTTCGCCTTCCAGGTCGACCCGCGGGCAGGCCCAGCCTTCCTCGTCGAACTCGCCATGCCCACCACCTCTCTCGTCAAAGAAATGGCTTCCGGGCTGGTGCGCATCGCGCTCGAGTGCGAGCGTGGAGGCGTGAATAGCGGGCTGAAGTTAGTAGAAGAGCTGACATGGCGGGCTTACTGCAACGGGAAGAAGTGCGGGTACGCGGTGCGGAGGGAGTGCGGGGCGGCGGATTGGCGCGTTTTGCGGGCGGTGGAGCCGGTTTCAATGGGTGCCGGAATGTTGCCGCCGGCGAAGGAAAGCGGCGAGGGGGAGGGGGAGATTATGTACATGAGGGCGAGGTTTGAGAGGGTGGTGGGGTCCAAGGACTCCGAGGCGTTTTACATGATGAATCCCGACGGCAACGGCGGGCCGGAGTTGAGCATTTACTTGCTCAGAGCCTGAGATTGAAGAAGAGAACAATATGAATTGAATTATAATTAGTGGGTCATTAAGGTTAATTAATTTGTATTAGGCAATTAATGGATCCTTTAATCTAATTTATATAATGTTTGTTGGCATTCAATTTTCCCATGGCTTTGTTTTGAAACAGTAAGTACTAAATCAACGGTTTTCATGGCATCATTGTTAAATTTCAGAAGATAATCAGCTGGTTAAGCATTTAGAAAGAAAATGTATATATGAATATATGATTGATGCAGGTCGATTCAAGCCTGACCAGTTCTTTGGCAGGATTAGGCCTCTATTTCCAACAGCGGCGCTGCAAGCACTTCCTGCAGCTTTGGAGGTGGGCCAAATTATTAGGTGCAGTCAACTTTGTCGTTTGGAGTCCAATTAGGACTAGGGGTGTTAATATTTGACGCGATCCAAAAATCCGACTCGAATTTGACCCGAAAATTTTGGGTTAGGGTCAACCCGAACCCGAAACGGGTCGGATTCGGGTTCAACATTTTGACCTGTTTCAAAAATTGGGTCGGGTTTGGGTTAAATCTTTGACCCGAGATTGATTCGATTTTGACTTGAAATTCCTATTTTGGCCCGTTTTTTACCTGAAAAAGAAGAGAGACCCGTTTTTGACCTGAAAAAGAGAGAGATCCGTTTTGACCCGAAAACTAGCAATTTTTTTGTTAGAAGAGGGTCATTCGGATCGTGTTGGTTGACCCGGACCTGAAGCGGGTCGAGTTCGGGTCAAGAAAACTGATCCGTTCTAAAAAATTGGGGTTAATAAGTTGTTCATTATGAATTAGATTGAGCTATATTTTATTTGAAATACCCAAAATCTCACTATAGAAATATTGTTTTCTTTTAAACAATTTATTGAGAAATCATGAGAGAGTGATTTTCGGTGGAATTTAGTTCATTGGTAAAATCCTCTGTAAAAATAATTCTTTGCGGAAAAATCTATTGAAAAGTTATTATGATAGAATTTTCGTTGGAATTCACCATAAATAAAAATATTGAAAATCAAGATACATTGATAAAAAAATTTGTTGATAACATTTTAGAGAAATAATTTAGGGGAAATAAGTGGACGGGTTTTTTTAGACTAAAATTCATAATCATTCCTTGCATTTTAGCATTCACAAAGCGCAATTTAACCTTCATATGCAATTTTAAATACTCGATCTTTATTTCTTATAGATCGTCTCCAAAATAATCAAGATATGAGGCATATGAAAAGTGTGCATCACATGTTCTAAGGAAGCATAATTCATAAATTCTTCATTTTTAAAAAAATTCTTAGATGCTGCTTGGTCTTGATTCCAAAATTTGATTGTTATACTCATTCTATAAAGGAGGTTGAAGAAGTTCATCTCAAGTGTTAAAAATTCTTCCTTTCTAATGTCAATAAATACATCAAAAAGATAACATTTTGTTCTCATCTTTATTGCTTATATGATCCTAATTTAATGGGTCCTTTTTTTATAATGAGCTAAGAATATTTAATTAAATGAATCTATGTTATGTTATGTAGATTTTCAGTTGTGAAATATCTTTTTCATGAAGTGAATTGAATACGTGTTATATTGAGAAAATTAAATTGGGATTACCTCAAATTAATATGATTGTTGTTGGGTAAGTGTCGTATTGAGTCATGACATGATAAGTTGAGAGTGGAATAGTAAAAAAATTGATTGTTGCTACAATTATAGAAGATATATGCAATGGGTCATATCCATGTTCATTAAATATTGTTCAACTTAATGTTCAAAGAAAGTTTTTTGATCTCTAAAATTGATGAGCTAGTAATAATATTGTTATGTGCCAGAACATTCATGACGGTAGATAGATGTAACGTTTAGCGTCCTAGCTTTGTATGAAAATCTAGCATAAACACATATAAGAGCGAGATGTGTAAAAATCATAATAGAGACCATAATCTTTACATGGGAAAATGAGAAAAACTATATGGGACCTCACCTAACTAAATTGACTCCACTAATGCTTGTCATTAATTAAAAATAATGTCTTTCCTCAAGGGAAGACATTTGCACAATGTAGTAAGTATACATCATATGAAGCACATTCTATTGTTGGAGTTAAACGAATGTAGTGACATGAGAGATGCTCTCAACAGAATGTTGGTCTGTTTGTTTGGTTGTTAGGACCATAGTCAGCAGACAATGGAGGTTAGAAGGATCATAGTTGTTAGGCGGCGGAGGATGACGAGACCATAATCATGTGATAGAGATTCATGAGACTATAGTTGGTAGGTGGTAGAGGTTGAAATGACCACAGTTGGCAGGTGACAGAGCTCTAAAGGACCATAGTGAGACGATTGAGGTCAAAGGACTATTGTCGGGTGGTCGGACGACGGTGGACGAAGCAAAGACCCAACTGTACATGGTGGTTGGATAGAGGTTAGATGAAGATGGTTTGGTAGAGGCCAGACAGAGGTGATCAGGGGGACATCCAATTATGATCGGCTAGTCAAAGTTCAATGGTGAAGGTCGAGCAATGATGGTTCACCGACATTGATTCTGTTGGATTCATGCCTTAGAGCTCTCTTGAATCCCTAGCGCATGGTCCAAGCCTCCTCCCCCAAAAGTCTCCCTTCATGTAGAGAGTATGGGTATATTTATAAATTTTGAGAGTGAGATGCTCCATAAATATAGAGAAGATTTGAAGAAAAATTTTCAGTGCTCCAATGGTTGTCTCTTAATTATTGAACTCTTCAATCATAAGAGCATTCATGTAGCATTTAAGTGATATTGGGCTAGTTGCATTCATCTCATTGAACCGCTTGATTTGTCAATAAGCATGTCATATTTGGATATGATTTTGTATTCAATTAAAGCTTTGAAGCTTCTAAATATACTTCGATTCCTTGATTTGGACCCATTTGGGCTCAGATTTTTCCGATTTTGATGTTGTTGGGTTGGTCTTATTGAGACATTTAGTTTGACTTTAAGTTTTTTAAAATTAGAATTTTGATGATCCTAAATTTAATTTTGAAAGTTTTCTATTCAGATATGCATCAAGATTCATACATGATCAAGATGATTTTTGGTAGCATACCAAACATGGATTGAGATTTTCTTGATTTATTTTGGTAGCTGCAGTGATGTTAATAAAGCACTTGATGGACATGGTGGTGATGGTATAATACTACAACTTAATCTATTGGTCATGGTGTTCACCGAACTACTCCCAATACATCTCTTCATTGTGAGCATCATGGACGTAATGTCCAATCATATTGAGGTCAAATTCCTAACTTCCTAAAGTTTTTTTGGCAAAAATATTTACTATATTAGCCAACTTTATTAGCTAGTGATTATTTATGATGGAAAAATATTTTAATTTGAAAATGATGTGGCAGATACATTATTATTAAGATCCTAAATTTGAGCTATAAATCTTCTCTAAAGGATTCTTATCAATACTTTCATCATAATTTTGATTTGTCACCTCTTATTGTGCTGAGTTGTTTGCTCAATTGTAGATCAATGTATTAAATATTAAACTATAGCTATTGAATTGAATATTTTTGTTTTCTTTTTCAACTATAAACTTATGATGTAAGTATATAATTAAATGAAGTTGCAATGATTTTGTGATAAATTTATTATTTATGCAAAATTTATCACCAACAAATGATGGAATTATGGCATATTACAAGCTTATGATGAATTTGTGAAAGAATCTTTAACAAATTTATTATAAATTGGCCAGTTAATTCTATAGCCGAAGAAATATACCCAAAAATTCATTTCAAATCAAAATAACCTCCACCTTTAATCTCAAACTACTTATTTAAAGTGACCCACAAATGACATTTATTAAAGATAGATTTGAACAAAATTCAAACAGGTTCAAAAAGGTTGTGACTATATTTTAATAAGATTCAAATCTTATTGGAACATTTTCGAATAAATCTTGAACATTGCTCAAACAAAATTTAGATAAGTATTAAGCACAATATGAATAGAGTTCAAACATTGTTCACATATAATTGGAATATAAAAAAGTTTCAAACAATAATCAAAGATGGTATAATACCTAAGGTATCAATAACAATGTGCATTCCAAGTACTTTAACACAATAAATTATATTATTGATATCAATATATAATCACAACAACTATAACATAACTTGTTATATGTTACACACAACAAATAATAATCTAACATTTATACCACAGTATAGATGTATTATAATAACTATGACATAGAAGATAATAAGATAGTTATAATATAGTATAAACTAATGGCTATAACATAATAAGTTCAATTTAGTAGTTATATCACATTAAAAGGCAATTGATCGACAGCCACTATTACACGTCAAATAGACTATTATCTATGTAACTCTAGCTCTACACTAGTGCAAATGTCATGTCAAATAATAAATTAATAAGTAAAGTATCATTCCCATGAGGATCAATATTAACCTAAATCTACTCTTGTACTGGTTATGAGAATAATCAAAATTATATTATCAATAGAATTTTAAGGTATGCTAAAGGAAACTATCAATTAAGTATTGAAATTTTACATACTATATATAAATGTCTATGAAGTTATGATAGCTCAAAATTAATCAAGAAAAAGTTAAATTTTTGGAGCTTAAGATTAGTTATTAGCAATAGAAGTAAGAATTATGCATTTTAATTAAGCTAACAAAAATGTTCTATATACCATCTTTTTATATGCAAAAAAGATTTTTATTGGTTGCTCTAGCATAATGATAAGATAAAAAAAAAAAGGAAGCATGGGTCGACTAGCCTACAAGACATATTTAAAGACATTAGGAAGTCAGCCAAGCGACCCCTCTAGATTGGTGAGTGTATGGGTCGAGTTGACCACTGCTTGGGGCAGTCAAAATTATAATAGGAGGGACCATAATAAGCAGAATTGAGCTTTTAATGTTGGAGCATTGGTAATTTCCTCCATACTGGGGGCTCAGTTTCACACACTGAGTACATGTGATGTTTTGGTAAGAATTTTATAAATTTTAATAATTTATTTAATTATGAATGCTAATGTAAGTATATTGTAAAGAGAGCTGTTAGGTGGAAAACCATTAGCTATTGATCGTTGCATAGTTTA